CAACAATAAATTAGGCCCGGGTATTGTCTTTAAAGGGGCATGGGGGCTCAAAGGCTCAGTGGCTAAGATGCTGAGCTTGTCGATCAGCATCTTCGTAGCAGTTTGGCAGTTTGAATCTCTAGTGCTGCATAACAGAGTGAGCTCCCGTTACTTGTCCCAGTTTCTGCCAACCTAGCAGTATGAAAACATGTAAAAATGCAAGTAGAAAAATAGGGAAAACCTTTGGTGGGAAGGTAATAGCATTCCGTATGCTTTTGGTGTTTAGTCATGCCGGTCACATGATCACGGAGACGTCTTTAGACAGCTGGCTCTTCGGTTTTGAAATGGAGATGAGCACCGTCTCCTAGAGTCCAGAACTACTAGCACAAATGTGCGAGGGCAACCTTTACTATTGCCTTAATTTTGATGTAGACACCTATAGTTCCATAGACTGTAGACCTAATGCAAACAATTTTATTCAATTAGTTAAACAATTTATTTCTATCAATTTAGGATTGAGCACTGTCATGTTTAAAAAAACATGGCTTATGCCACATAATAGTAGCCTAGCCTATACACACCTGTAATTGGTTGTTTCTCAGCTACTTAATGTATTAGCAAGAAGACCTAATTTCTGCTTGAAACTCAGAGGAGTGGGGAGGAGGAGGAAGTTCTTTTTCTGTTAAGAGATTTCTCTTGTGATCACTTCTGTTTCCAAAATTCAGAGTTGTGTGTGGCTATTTTGGATTTTATTATCCACACAAAAAATATAGAAATAGGTATAGGAAAATCCATCATGCATGCAGGAATGCTAGAATTCTTAAAGCATACCAGAAGGTTCTCTGTTTCAATATATATGAAATGCTAAATAACTCTTGGGAAAAAACAAAAAACTCCATTAAGAAACAGAATTATTTGGCAGAATGGCATGGCTAACTAGAATTCCTTAAAAGGAGTTTCCACATGGCAATATTTTATCAGAGGTTTGATTGTCTCTCATCTGTTCATTTATTATAACTTTCAGAAACTCAAGAGGTGATTTCTCTCCATTCTTTCCAATTTTTACTTCAATGTTTCTACATTTAAACCGGTATCTTGCCTGATGATATCTGTCTTATATGTTGTTTGCCAGATTTGTTTTTTAGGCCCTCCAATCATTCCCAGCATAACTGATTTTTCTAAGAAATTGTATTTCATCAAAATAAGACATCCTTTGTTGGTAATCTAGAAATTCTCTGATATTTCTAGATTAATTTATCCTTGTTTATCCACAATATACAAGTAGCCCTCTTGAAACCAATGTTCAAAGGAATCAAATTTTCTTTTGTCTGCTTTTTATTTCTAGCTTTAACAACTGTAGTTGTTTAAAGAGAAAACAATAGCTTTTACTATCATACTTTTGGTATTTGCATTTTCAATGAATACAAATTAAATAAAGTGACTGTATACAAGCTTAGTTCATATTATTCCCACTGTTAACTATTTTGTAGCCTCATAACTTTGCTTTCTAGTTTTCAGCAGGCTGGAGATGAAGGATTGGTGCATCCTTGATTTTAATAGTTATCATTATTTGTTGTAGTCACATAATTAAAAGCTTTAGTAGAGTAGCAATATCAATAGCACTTAGATTTATATACTGCTTTACAGTGCTTTAGAGCCCTCTATAAGCGGTTTACAGAGTCATCATATAATCCCCGTCTCTGCTGGCGGGCTGCCGTGGACATAAGCAGGCAAAAGAATTTCTCTTTCACCCGCCTCTGCTGGCGGGCTGCCGCGGACACAGGCAGGCAAAAGAAAGTGACTTTTGGCCGTCTCTACTGGCGGCCTGCCGCGGACACAGGCAAGTGAAAGTCTCTTTCGTCCACCTCTGCTGGCGGGCTGCTGTGGACACAGGCGAGTGAAAGAAAGTGCTTTAGGCTCAGACAGGTGAAATAAAGTCTCTTTTGCCTGACTGTGCTGTTGGTCTGTCCTCCTTGCCTCTCCTACCCCCTTCCCTCAAACAAACTCTCTCTCAAACAAACACACACACTCTCTCTCACACACACACAAAGTTGCACCAGGAGGATGAAGTTTTAATTCCTCCCCCTCCCTCCGACCCATACATACCTTTTCCAGCTGTTTCAGAGAGGGTTTCAACTCTGCTCTTGCCTGCCATCATGAAAAGAAAAAAATATAAAAGGAAAAAGGCAAGAGCTGAGGTCAGACTAAGCTATTTGCTGCCAGAGTCCCCATGGATGACTGTGCTTAACTGTTTAAAAAAGCCTCTAAAAAATGCCCTCTACAGGAGGAGACAGGAGAACGACATGCCTCATCTACATCAGGCATTTTTCAGCTTTTACCCCGTGCTTAACTCTGCTCGAGTGATCATAAAGTCAGACTAGATTAGGCACGTCGTTCGCCTGCCTCCTCCTGTAGAGGGCACTTTTTAGAGGCTTTTTAAAACAGTTAAGCACTAA